ATTTAGACATTTTTAGCATTACCTTTTTTATACGAATTTACAATTTCTCCGTGCATTCTGCTTAAAACTATATAAAATTATGTGTTCCCAGCATGGGTTCAATTGGGTTCCCATTCGATTAACAATCTATGCTCCCGTTTATGTTGAGATTTGGCAATGTGGCACTCGTCCCACGAACTTTACCGAAAGATTCTCGTATCACTTCGGACTAGTCCGTGTGTAATCGCAATACCCGAAACCTATTTCGCGAAGTTGCTTCTTTTATCGAACAATGGAGACAATGCTTGGGCGCGTTTTTGTATATGGGGGCAAGGGTGCTTTAGGCTCGGCTTGTGTTTCAAAATTCAAGTCAAAAAATTGGGTAAGTAACGTCGTCGATCAAAATCTACAACTCGGGTAAAAAATATTCGAATGACGATTATGTTATCAATACCACTAACTCGTTTCCTCATAGATGTTCCGGCTTTTCATTTATATTTCCTAATGAATAAATGAACATAAGTAGTGTTATACGCGTACTTTTATCTTATTAAAAGTAAACGAATGATCACGTGCATTTTATTAATTAACTTTCTTGATCTGTACGTTTAATAAAAATCTTGAGATCATACAAATGGGAAGTCCCATTTTCTAACGAATGACATCTAAAAAGTTTATAAAAATATTAAGAAATGTAAAACGTAGTGNTACCACTAACTCGTTTCCTCATAGATGTTCCGGCTTTTCATTTATATTTCCTAATGAATAAATGAACATAAGTAGTGTTATACGCGTACTTTTATCTTATTAAAAGTAAACGAATGATCACGTGCATTTTATTAATTAACTTTCTTGATCTGTACGTTTAATAAAAATCTTGAGATCGTACAAATGGGAAGTCCCATTTTCTAACGAATGACATCTAAAAAGTTTATAAAAATATTAAGAAATGTAAAACGTAGTGTCATATTTTTAATTATTTCAATTACGAATGTAATGAGAATTAAGAATTGCCTGAGAAACTCGCGAAGCATATGTCAGCATAATATACTGTTGCGTGCTTATCTTATTCAAATGGCAGATTAATTTACGCTCGCTGTTTTAAATGTACGGAATACAATACGTATCTTTTTCACGTCCTGTATAAGTTTAATATACCATTTCCATAAAAACATAGTTGTAAAAATACCAATTCTATTGAGTAATGTTACATATAAAGGAAAAATACATCAAGGTCATAGCTAGTCTATCCTTTCACATAACATACATCTCTAATTTTTTTCACAACTTTGTATCAACTTTGTAATCATAGTGGGTTGGCTCTATCGACATGAAAGCAAATGCTGAGGCTGATGCAAATATTGTTGTAAAGCCAGATTGCAACTGGCAGGAGCAAGAAACTCACATTTTGCAAGAAGTTAAAAACATTCTGAAAGAAGACAAACTAGATGCAATTATCTGCGTTGCTGGTGGATGGGCTGGTGGAAATGCAGCCAATAAAGATTTTGTTAAGAATACTGATCTCATGTGGAAGCAAAGCGTATGGAGCTCGGTCATTGCTGCCAGCATTGCTTCCCATCATTTGAAGGAAGGCGGATTCTTGTCATTAACTGGTGCTAAAGCAGCATTAGAAGAGACACCAGGCATGATTGGATATGGAATGGCTAAGGCTGCAGTTCATCAGCTTACCAAGTCATTAGCGGCTAAAGACAGTGGATTACCAAAAGATTCATTAGTTGCTTCTATCTTACCCATTACATTAGATACTCCCATGAATAGAAAGTGGATGCCTAAAGCCGACACATCTAAATGGACACCGCTTGAATTTGTCGCAGAGTAAATAAATTATGTTTCCTTTACTTGCCCGAATTTACCTATATGTTCTAATCATGCTTATTCTGGAATCACAGCCTCTTTTGGAAATGGTCTCAAAAGCAGGAACGCCCAACTAATGGCAGTCTTCTGCAATTGATTACCAATGATAATAAAACAGAAGTAACTGCGGCTTGAAACTAATGTTCTACTCTCTGGACCAGGAATCACATCGTTGCTACCATGACAATATATATCTATTCAATGTTGACATTTAATAATCTAATTTTATTCCATATTAATGCATTTCTGAACACAGGTGCTATGTTCATTCCACTATACAGATACGTATGAAAGTTCTTATGCAATTTGATATTATTTACGAGAAAATTGAAATACGTCTCGTACTGTTTTTGAGATTTATTTTTATACAAATGTAATATATTATACTACGTAAAATATATTGTAACTTATGTGAACAAATAAATAAATATCAAGAATTACCAGCATGATTATATCGAAGATAATGTAATATTACAGAATACGGATATACCAATTTATTTTCTCTACATACAACAAGAAGTTTGTGTTCGCCTTGTAGTATACGTGACGAAGCTCACATAATGGATCTTTTCAACGATAATTTGTTATTAACTTAAAGATGCATACACTAATGAAATGACAATATGTTTACTTTATTTGGAGAGTTTCATTCAGCATCTTAGTTTCAGCTGTAACAAAAAAAAAGATTAGATAAGCATCATTATGATATGAAAATTGAAAAAGATGAAGAACTTCTTGAATATTTCCTTACCTTCTAATAACCGTTTCCGTTCTTCAGCTAATTTCGCATCCCTCATTGGTTTTTCTCTCAGTTCTTGTTCGCGGCGAGCATTTTCTCTCTTACTCAATCTTCTTTGATGGTAAGCACCATAAAGTATGCCAGTTAGCAGGAAACTCCATCGTGCAAACTATGTGTAATTGAATAACAGAATTAGATGAAATATTTCTAATTCATTCATTCATTCAATGAGAGTTACATAGAGATTTAATTATCGTTCATTTCTGTTGGGATCCTAAGGTTAACAAATTTAGCATCAATCTGTCTTCAATTTCTGTATAACAGTAAGACGAACATTTTTCATATTTACGTAGGTAAATCTTAATAAAAGGTCATTTTTTTAGTATTTATAGGAATTATGTAATATAATCAGCTTACGAGCAATTGTTTCGAACAGTACTTGTTAGGTAATAAAACAAAATCGTAATAATGCAAGCTTCGGACAAATGACAATTGGGAATATTCGAATTCGATTTTCGAAAAAACCTACTGTGACATAAATGATGCTTACTTTAATTACAGGAGATACTTGCAAAGGTCTTGGACCAGCCTCGACAGACGACATTTTGCTAGTGCACTAGAGAAGGAGAATAAATTCTTCCGATCTTCGATTACGATTCTTCTTCGAAATATAGCGCCCACGCGCTTAGTTTAAACACGGTAATCAACGTTCGTATTATTTTAAAGAACAGAACAATATTCCATCACTTACAAGCATTTAAATTCTATTTTAAGCAGTATTTTTCTCTCATAAAGTGTTCCTTTCATTTCATAATTTGGGAAAGAGAAAAATTATAATTTATTCTCGAAGCACATATCTAATG